CCTTCAAAAGGAATGAACTCTGACACATGGCACAAATGGAGGCCATTATGGGAAGTAAAATAACCACTCTCACAAAGAGATAATTCTATTTGTTTGAGTGGTCAAATTCATAAAGTAAAATGGAGGGCAGGGGCTGAAGCCATAGTGCAGTGGGCTAAGTCTCCAACTGTGGAGCTGGCATCCCACATGGTTCGAGTCCTGGCAGTTCTACTTCCAATCCAACTCCCAATTATTACACCTGTGAAAGCAGCAAAAGAGAACACAAGGGGCCCAGCGCGGTGGCGCAAGTGGTTAAGGTCCTCACCTTGCACGCCCAGGATCCCATATGGGCACCGGTTCTAATCCCAGCAGCCCCGCTTCCCTTCCAGCTCCCTGCCTGTGGCCCAGGAAAGCAGTCAAGGACGGCCCAAAGCTTTGGGACCCTGCACCCATGTGGGAGACCCGGAAGAGGCTCCTGGCTTCGGATCGGCATAGCATCGGCAGTTGTGCTCACTTGGGGAGTGAATCATCGGACGGAAGATCTTCCTCTCTGTCTCTCCTCTCTGTATATCCACTTTTCCAATAAAAAATAATAATAATAATAAAAGAAAATAAATAAACATTTGGCTTAATGAATTTAAAAAAAAAAAAAAGAGAGAGAACATAAGCCCTGAGGTCCATGCACCCATGAGGGAGAGCAGGAAGAGGCTCCATACTGGCTTTGGACCAGCCCAGCTCTAGCCATAATGGCCAGCCACTTGAGCAGTGAGCCAGCAGACGCAGTTCTCCTCTCTGCAAAATTTACCTTGCAAATAAAAATCAGCAAATCTTAAAAAAAAAAAAAGGCATGGGGGCACAGTTATTTTTCAGATTAGTTTGTTTTGCAAGACGCGAGTTCTGGAGTTGGATGGCGGCACAAGTGGCACTACGAAAACTTAATGACCATCACTGAACTTCAACCGGGTGTGCTGTACATATATTTTGGTAGACAGAGAAGGGCTGGCAGCAGGTGAAGGTGTGACCAGGCTCAGGAAGGAGCTGGGAGATGAGAGGTTTGGAAGTTGCCACTACAGATAAGTACAACAACCTTTCCGGGCTCTTACCCTCTGCAATCCCTAGATGGGCCCACTGTCAGTCCACTCCCGAGCAATGAGAAGATAGTACCCTTTTCTTTCATCACAAAGACTCCCTTCTCCAATTTTCTATAGAAATATTAAACTGACTTTCAAAATAAACAACTTTTAGAATATTTCCATGGTTAGCCTTTGAGAGAACCAGGCAGGATCCTGGATATTTGGTGCAGTGGTTGGGGTGAAAGGGTGAGCAGGAGGGGTGGACATTGCTTTGGGGTACCCACATTCCATCTTTATAGAATGTCCGAGTTCAAGTCCAGCTTCCTGTTAATGTGCAGCCTGGGAGCCAGCAGGTAGCTTGGTCCTGGACACTCATTTGGGAAAAGCAGATGAAGCCCACTGCTATTGGCTTTGGCAGTGCTGCTGTGGACATTTGGGGAGTACACTAGACAATAGATCTCTTTTCTTTCAAATGAATAGAACAAAGAACCAGATTCCTGCAGAATTCTCCTGGGCTCCCACCTTCTCCATACTGGCCTTGGCCTTACTCCAGTGGATGTGGACACAAAAAGCAGGCAGCCCAATCAGAAAGTGCAGTGCAGGTCACACCTCCTGGCTCAGGCACATGGGAAGTTGTGGCTTTCAGAGCAGGCTGGCAAAGATGGCATCCAGCCATCCACATCTATCCTAAACCTAGAAGAGGATCACTGGTGAACCCAATATAATGGCAAGTACTCAACAACTATTTGGAAACCCACTCAGTCTAGCAATAAAATCACTTTAGGCTCCTTTAACAATTATAAGGTGAGCCATGTATCATTCTAGAATTCTGGGGCAGTCTTCACTTAACCTAAATGTGTTAAGCCTCTTCTAAATGTGATTCAAGCTCCCAGAAAGTCCTGGGCCCTGGATTATTTTGCCTGCAGCGGCCCAGCTGACAGTTGTACACTTGGTCATCATGGTTCCCATGCCAGAGCTAAGTGCCCACTGAGCTCTAATCCTTCCCTAGAACTTCAGGCAGAACCCCTTGTCACTAATTTGCAGAAACTTAGACCTGTAGAGTAGCCCTACTTAACAAAACAAAAAGGAGAACTACAGATTTTAAACTTCCTATTGGAGCTCCACTGGTAAGGGATCCAGTTCCCTCTTAATGTGTCTGGGAAGGTAGCCAAGGATCATGTCCCAAGTGTTTGGGTACCTGCCACCCAAGGACCCAGGATGGAGTCCCAGGCTCTCGGTTTTGGCCTGGTCCAGCTTTAGTCTTCATGCCCAATCGGGGAGTGAATCTGCAAATACAAGATTTCTCTTCACCCTCCCCATCCATTGTAACTCTTTCATTTAAATCTTAAACTAAATCAATCATTTAAAAACATATTCATTTGAAAATACCAACTCCAAACAACCAACATCTGAACATATTCTATTGACCAGATTTTATCTTTTATATATATATATTTTAAGATTTATTTTTTATTGGAAAGGCAGATTTACACAGCCAAAGATCTTCCATCCGCTGGTTCACTCCCCAAGTGGCCACAACAGATTCCAAGCCAGGAACCTGGAGCATTTTCTGGTTCTCCCACACAGGTGCAGGGTCCTAAGGCTTTGGGCTGTCCTCTACTGCTTTCCCAGGGCATAAGCAGGAAGCCGGATGGGAAATGGAGCAGCTGGGACACAAACCAGCACCCATATGGGATCCTAGCATGTTCAAAGTGAGGACTTTAGCCATTAGGTTACCACGCCAGGCCCTATTTACCAGATCTTTAAAAAAAATTCTTTGAAGGAATTTGGGGTGAAACAAAGTGGAGGGAAATACACACACACACAACAAATTTCCAGGCTGGCATTTGGTGCAGTGGTTAAATGTTCACTTGAAATGTCTGTTTCCAGTCAGTGAGCCTGGATTCAGGTCTCTGCTCCACTTAACTCCAACCTTCCTGCTACTGCAGACCCTGGAGGCAGCCAAGTGGTGATTCAAGTGCTTGCTTGGAGACCCCAAGTTCCTGGCATCTGGCTTCAGACTGGCCCAGCCTGGCTGCTGTGTGTATCTGGGGAGTAAACTAGTAAATGGGAGAGATAGCCGTCTTTCTCCCTTTTCACTATAAAGAAGTAAATAAATATTAATGAAAAAAAAATGTACCTCCCAGCTTTCCATCAGCCCTTTCACACAATCTATTTCTTACCCTAGGTACATATAACGCTCAAGTGGAAGAAGGCCGGAGAAGATGAGGTGTCCCTGGCCCCAGAAGGCAGCACCGGTATTCAGGAGCTCCTCTGGGTCTTTGTGCTCACTGACTTATCTTGTTCTGTTTTTAGTTTAGGGAAAGATCATGCTCACTGCTGGGTCTTGTTGGGCTACAGCACTTTTAAAGGACAGTTTCCAAGAAGGAAAAAAAAACAGGGAGGAAAAGCAGAAGAGCATAAATCACATCAGGGACATGCAGCTCCCATCATTTCACTCTCAAATTTTGCCTTTTAAATGCAGTTCCTCTGCCAGCGGTTCAGCGAGAGCTGCTCTCCTTATTGTCATTTATTACCCATGACAGGCAGCAACGCTTCCCTCAGATCCAGTCTCCCTTGCACCACAATTACCTAGTCATGCCTGCAAGGCAAAAAGACTGCTCCCAACTCCTTCCCTCTGGACTGTTTCTCCCAAAGGCCAAGTTCAAAGTAAAGCTCTATTAACGGGAACCCGACATCAGCAGAATTCTCCGGACAGGCCCATGCCCCCACTCCCACAGTGACAGCAGAAACCAAGACATCATGACTGACACTCCAGTCACTGGGAAAGCAGGCTCTGCAGAAGCTGGCAGGTGGAAGACCCACACAGCCACGCTGCCAGCACCAGCTGTCAACCTGTACTTCCTTACAGCACTAGCCCTGCCCTGCTAACCTCCCCACAGCAGGGGTTTTTCACTTAAACTCAACAAATGGAGACAAAGTATTGGAGGGTACAAAAATCAGATGCATTGATAATCTACAGCCATGAGACATTTATACAAGAAACATAAAAATCATACATTCCTTGCTAAAAGGATCCACAATTCAAAACAGCCTATTTTCTACCATTGGATCTTTCTCTAAAACATATATTTGATAGGTAGTAATGGAGGTGGAAAGAGGGGAAGATCTTCCATTCACTAGTTCTCTCCCTACATGAATGTCATAGTCAGGGCTGAGCCAGGCTGAAGCCAGGAACCTGGAACTCCATCCAGGTCTCCTATATGGGTGGCAAGGCCCAAGCACTAGGGCCATCCACTGGTGCTTTCCTAGGTGGGGAAGCAGGAAGCTGGATGGGAAGTGAAGCAGCTGAGACTCAAATGAGTGCTTATCCAGTATGTTGGCATTGCAGACAGTGGCTCAATGTGCCATAATGTGGGTCACTAAGTATGTCTGGCTTAAATTATTTTTCATTTCATTTGAAGGCAAAGAGCCAGAACACAGATGGGGACCTGGTTCACTCCTTACATCTGCATCCCATGTGGCTGGATACAAGATAGCACTTGAACCCTCATCGTATCTCCCAGCATGTGTGTGAAAAGAAAGCTGGAACCAAACTGAAACAGCTGGGACCTCACCCAGGCACTCCTGACAGGGCATACAGGCAGCCCAAGCCACTACTTAACCACTGCCAACCCACTGATTTCTTTCCTCTCCATGTACCTCTTGTTTCATGCACTTTGGAGCAAATAAAGCACAAAGAACTTGCAGAAGGAAAGAGAAAACTGAGAACAAAGAACAGAAACTTAGGGATGGGGCTTTCACCTAAGAGTTAAGCCATCTGCACACCATCATAGAGCACTTGGGTCCCACACTATAGCCATGGCTATTGAGGCCAGTTTCTTGCTAACGCAGAACCTGGGAGGCAGCAGGTGTTGGTTCAGCTAATTGTGTCGCTGCTCCCCATGTAGGAGAGCTGGGTTGAGTTCCTGCCTCCCGACTTCAGCTTTAGTACAGATCCAGCCATTAAGGTTATTTCAGAAATGAACCAACAAATGGAAACCATTCTCTCTCAAAGAGCTATAAAGGAAGGAGAAACCTAGAACACAAGACTAGCAAGCAGCAGACGAGTTCCTGGGGACTCCAACAGTCCGGCGGGGAGGAGGTGGCCCCATCTGACGGGGAGCAGGGGTCACAGAGTGGAAAGTACTGAGAGCTGAAACTGCTCCCTCCATGAAAACGCATCACCTGTTAACCCCTGGGCAAAGCGCAGAGCTTGGGGTCTCAAACTGTTCTTGGAACGTAAACATGTATGTGATGTGCTTTCCAGACGATATGGAAATGAGAGAAGTGGAGACTGAAGTACATAATTATAATAACGTAAGAATGAACACACTTCCGCAGTACATTTTAATAAGACACTGATAATGACTGGTAAAAAGCCAAATTACAAAATGCCCTAGAATATGGAGTACAAAACCTCAGAGACAAAAGTAAAAACTCATGAAAATATTAAGAGCACTTTAACAAGGTGTAATCATCTTTATGATAAAGAAACCATTTTTGCACAGAGGCACCATGTGTGCTTAATAAAAAATTAAATGAGATTAAAGATGAGGCGCACAATCTTGCGTTCCCCTGCCCCTGGTAATTAGGAAGCTGACACTTATATAGATGAAGGTGTGGCACCAGGAGCGTGGAGCTGCTCCAGCAACCAGCACCTGCTCTGTCACCATCTGCCTCCCGGAGAGCAATGTCGCAGGCAATCCACCAAGAGCTAAGGCTTTCCTTTATTCTGTGGCTGTAGTGAGTCCATGGAAAGGCGCAACCTCAGCAAGAGTGGGACGGCATGCCCCTCCAAGCCTCCACGGCAGGGCAGGACCTCAGGAAGCAGCAAGGGGAGAGGGACGGTGTCCTCTAGGAACATCTCACTTCTCAGATCAACTCACCGTCATGGCTCTACGTGAGCAAGAAACCAGGAACCAGAAGCAAAAGCCCCACAGCAGTCCCCATCCTCAGAGGGGTGGTTGGACAGCGGGGACAGAGAACAGACCTCCAATCCAGGCTGGCCGTGTGACATGGCCAGGCTCCCTTATCCCTCTCCGACTACCATTTGCAGCTCCTGTCTTTCAGGTTCAGATTCCTTCCAAGGGCATTGAGTGTTACGCTTCGCTTGGGCCAGATGTTCCCGTCTGCTCACACCCACGGCCGACATAGCAACCATGACTCATACGTCCTTCCAGCACAGCACAGGCAGGCAGGGAGCTGCAGCTGCAGCCACGTGCGTCCGCTTGGTGAGGGAGTGACAGATGGCTGACGCCCTTTCCGTGGGGCCTCCAGTCACCCTGCCCAACGAGCTGGGACCCAGGGCTGCAGCTGCTCAGCAACCTAGGTTCCCTTAAAGTTTCAGCAGGTACAGCTTTTGTGTGCCGGGAGAGATGGGAAAGCTGACTGGAGGCTGCCCCCTCTTCAGATGTCTGCTTTCACCCTACTGGCGATGAAGCGCAGAGACACAACCTCCAGGTGAACAGTGTCAACAGCCCCTGGGAAGGCAATAATCCCAACCTTCTGATGTTTCAATGAGATATAACTCACTGGAGCTTGTGACTCGGCCGACTGTTAATTGAATCAAAGTCAATGACAATCTTGCTGCACTTGGGTGTGAATTTCCTAAACATAAAGGAAAAAAAAATGTATACATATATTTGATATGCACACAAAAACAATAAACAATACAAAACCAGTATGCAGTGAGTAGTTACAACCATTTGTTTCCTTTGGCTTAACCTGTATTTTCTGTGTGGAGATTTGGTTGAGATTTTCTCTCTATGCGAGCCAATTATCTTGGCCCAAGAGAGACACATGGACCCGCAAGGACAAGACCCAACAGAAGCCAGGGCCGCTTTCTGGGCTGTTCTCCACCAAGGACGCGGCAGTCTAGGGATCTCCGATAAGTTAATCTCACCACATGACATGTGACTATTCGTTTCCTCTTCAGATTTACCTTCTTTAGGAAATTTTTAATCTACTCGGAATTGCTTGAAAGCCAAAAATGGCACATTTTCTCTTGCTTCTTAACCATACCAAAACAAAACCAAAACCAAAAAAAAAAAAAAAAAAACAACTCTAAGGTTTAATATTAAGGGAGAATTCTTATAAATCATGAAGAATGTAAGCATAATATAAATGTATTCTATTTTTATTTGCTAAATTTTATTCATATTTCTACCAGAGATATAGCATTTGGGGATTAACCATTTTGAAAAACTCTAAATAAGAAGAGTATGCACAGAATTTGGAATTTGGATTTTAAAGTCTCACAGGCTGGCTTCACCTTGGGAGCTTCTGTTCCCATCCTGGTCCTTCAGGATGAATACACGGGGCTGGGAGGTGACCTATCATTGCGTTCCCACACCTGCTGACCGCAGTAGAGCTCTGAAAAGCGTTACAGCCTCGAAGCTTTCTCTGCCATGAATCCAAGGTGGCTGAATTTACTCACAAGCACAACACACCATCACAATTTCTGTTCAGCAAAGGTAATCATAAAAAGCCAACACTTCGGATCGCAATTTAAAATGTTGCTGTAAAGAGAATTCCTGGTGTTTCAACTCGGCAGGTTACTTTCATCCTAAATTTTCTATGGCACAGTTGTTACATCTGCAAAATTTACAACGGTTTGCTGTTAACTATTACAAGACTTGAGTGAGTCTGTACATTTCTCTTTCCTCCAATAGTTGATGAAAGCCCTTGGAAAGTTACTGATACATCACACAGACTGTCGTCAGATGGCTTCTGTCACTGTGCTTTAGAATCTAGCCTCAAAATATCATCTTCGATCCTTCTGCCATCACATTTCTGAAGACACTTCCAAGGAGGGGACGTCAGGCATCACAAGGAGAAGCCCGTCAGCACAGAGGGTCTAAGGGGTTCACCCACAGCTGCTTCACATAGCCTGGCTCCCCAGGCCACCCTACTTACCGGAACGTGACCCCAGCCATATCAAACATGAGCCTTGCTGCGGTGGTCTTCTCACTGTCATGGTATTTGTCAGACATGAAAATCACTTCTTTTATACCTTCAAAGGAAACAAAGGGAGTCTTGTTAGTCAGTGCACACTCAGTCACGTCGAGGATACACAGCAGTTGAGGGAGCCCTGGTCATCATGGTTGGGACCAGTGCGTGCACAGACACTGTCCAGTTCCTGACATATACATGTATATATCTGCTGCTTTCTGATTCAGTTGAGGGTGGATTATATATAATTGGCCTTCCAGTCTTCGTGGAATCTTTTAAAACAATTAGAAAGTGAAAACATGTCAAACAGGCAAGCTTTGATCTGAGTAACAACTTTTTTTTTCCCCTTTACGTAATCAATCATTCTTTATTCACAAATCAAAGACTCTAAACCCACTCCAGATGAGTGGGCAAGTGGGGACAGGAGCTAAGTGTCACTGCAGTTGGCTTTGCAGACCAACTTCAACCAGCTCCATGGAGAATACATCTGTCTTTTCTGGACCGCACTAGGCCAGCACCACATTAAGGGTTGGGAACTCCAAGGCCCAGGCACTGCTCCTCACAGCCTTGGAGGGGATGAGGGGCTGGCCCAGAAAACAGGCACCTGCTCCTGCCGTTGCATGCGAGGGTAGCCAGGGATGGCACAACAGAGGCAACGTGAAGGCCAGGCTGTCCCTTAATGGCAGGAGCCCTTTGTGGCTCTAAGAGCACAGGGCAGTGATTAACAGCCCCTAGAAAACACACATCTGGCTTGACTCAGAATCTCAAACCCAGAATGTTATGGAGATAAAGCACAGCTGAATCTTAGATGTGACAGTTTGAAAAAGGTAAGACATTCAGAATACAATGCTACAGATTTACGGCAACTGTTAACAACGAAAAGTCAAAGTAGCAACCATTTGAGTCTTATGCATTTAGATGCAAAAATATGTTTAGATCCTCGAATATCTTCCATGTATTAGATACAAATTAAAATTTCATATACAGACTCCCAGCTGACCTTGATTCTGACAGAAGTTCATTTCTCTCCCTCCCCTCCAATCTACGCACAATATGTCAGAGAACAGTAAATTGACAGTAATTATATGCAATGCCTGTGTTGCTTGTTGGCAGTCTGCAGTTTAAGAAGTTGCAAACTAAATTAAAAACATGCTAAGAATCACAGAAGATGCAATTAGTCTTAGCATACCTGGCACCATTCACAAACAAAACACAAGATATCTTGCAAAGCTGAGAGTACAATTAATTTAGATCTAAACAATAGTGATTTAAGATCAAATGCATCTGCAATGAGCTACTGACGAGCAGGCAGCAATACAAATGGCACAAATGGTACAAATGGTGGGCCTGGCTCCTACCTGCCTGGATGATGAGCTTGGCACATTCGTTACACGGGAACAAGGCAACGTACATGCTGCAGCCTTTCACATCAGCCGAGTTCTTGTTCATGATCGCATTCAGCTCCGCATGGCACACTGCGGGTTTGAAAGAAAAGAGGGAAAACTCAGCAGCTCATAAAGAGTTTACGAATAAAGCATTCCATCTGCCCCTCCCTAACAACAACCTAGGGTGCAGGGAGGTGGAGGATTTAAAAAGTTCATGGAAAATGCATATGATAAACAAAACTACACATGGGTTTCAAAAATTTTCTGTACCTAAGTATTTTCTTACAGGTGTCTTTTTTTTTTAAAGATTTATTTTTAATGGAAAGGCATTTTTTTTTTCAAATTTTGTTTCTGATGTTCACATAGTTGATTAGGGTAAGAAGGATGGAGGGTTAGGGGAAAGTGGGTAAGACCATCGTTTCCACATTTTCTTTTTCTTGTTCCTGTACCTGGAGGGACTGGAGGAAATGAGGGGAGAAGCTGTTGTACCCAGCCTCCCAACTGCATCAGTACCCCAGGATGGGGGACGGCCACCTAATATCATCCCCAGGTCTCCAATGTGGAGCATACTCCAAAGGTTCTGCTCCAGGAGTTTCGAAAGTTCTGACACGCTGTCGATCTTGCAGATTCAAGGATGAGGAAATCCTTGCAAGGGCCAGGGGCAGGCATAGTCCACCCTAGAGTCTCTATTTGCCTAGAAATTTGCTGTCAAGCTTCACTGGGGTAGTTGACCAACTTATTCTGCCCTTCTACCTCTGCTGTGGTACCAAATGTCCTCTGCAGGCTCTAAGGACTGCCAAATCCTCCATGAGCATCTGGGTATGCTGTCCACTTCGCCATCTTCAGTAACCAAGGAGGCCCCTTTCAGATACATGCACTCTTCTATCGGATCACAGGTTCTGCCACTCTCCCTATGGTTTGGGTTCAGAGTCCACTGGTTCAGCTGGGGGGTGCCTCAAAGAAATCCCTCTAAGGTGATTCCAGATCTGACTCCTGTGTGCGCCCATCAGTACAGGGTCCAGCTCATTCTGCCACCCACATCAGTCTGCATACACAAATAGTTGCAATTGCTGGGTCAGTTCTGTTTCAAGCCCCATCTCTTACATAAATCAATGGATGTTGTGGCCCAGTCCAATCATGCCCATGACACACTCGGCCCCCATGTATACCACTGGGAGCTGCAGCCCAGTCAGAGTGACCCCCAATTACTCCCACTGGACTGGCCCCTAGCCCTGGATCCTGTGCTTGCCAGCATGTGCAGTGGACTGTTCCAGTCTATCCCACATTCCATTCAGGTATCATACACATCACTGGGTATTGAAGCCTAACTCAACCCAACCAACTCTACCGTCAAGCCCTCACTCATGTCAGTGGGTGCCACAGCCTAGACTATCTAGCCAGGCCCTAACCTGCCCCCAGACCTCTCATGCTCACCAGTGGCAGTTGCAGGCCATCAGAGAGGTACCCACAGTTTCCCTATTGGACCACCCTCTATCCCAGATCTTGCACTCTCCAGGTGATTCTGCATTCTAGCTCAATAGGACTTGCCTCCAGTCCTAGCAGTTGCCAGCTGCTGCTGCTGCAGCAGCAAAGCCAACCAACCTGTCTTTACTCTGGCTAACACTCGCACCAGTGGATATAGTCAGTTAGCCCAACCTGGTTCTCCCCCCAACCTAGCTCACATCCAGGCTAACAGATATGATAGCCCTGTAGACAGGCAGATTTTACAGGGAAGGAGAAACAGTGAGAAAGATTGTCCATCTACTGGTTCACTCTCCAAATGTCCATAACAGTCAGAGCTGAACCAATCTGAAGCCAGAAGCCTCTTCTGGGGCTCCCACGTACAGGATCCCAAGGCCTTGGCCCATCCTTGACTGCTTTCTCAGGCCACAAGCAGGGAGCTAGTCGGAAAGTGCGGCAGCCGGGACACCAACCGGAGCCTATTTGGGAACCTAGTACAAGCGAGGATTTAGCTACTGAGCCATTGTGCTGGTCTCCATACAGGTGTCTTAACTATAAAGCCAACCACCCACCCTCAACCTATCCTTTAATTTTATTTTCCATGAACTTCTCTGAACTACCTTTGTACAGCAGACTCGTTTTTCTTTTTTGTTTTTTAAAGATTTATTCATTTTCATTGGAAAGGCAGATTTACAGAGACAGAGCAACAGATTCTCCGTTTCACTGGTTCGCTCCCCAAGTGACCACAATGGCCAGAGCTGAGCCAATCCAAAGCCAGGAGCCAGGAGCTTCTTTTGCGTCTCCTAAGAGAGAATAGGGTCCCAAGGCTTTGGGGCCATCATTTACTGCTCTCCCAAGCCACAGCAGGGATCTGAATGGGAGGTGGAGCAGCTAGGACACAAACCCTCCCCATATGGGATTCCAGCATATGCAAGGCAAGGATTTGGCCACTAGGCTGTTGTGCTAGGCCCCAACAGACTCCATTAAAAAAACTGACTAGAAATGACAAGTTCTAAACATTCCTAAGGAGGGCCATGTGGTCTGACTGCATGGTGAACAGAAGGGAAACCACTCACCACAATCAACCTCAGTCTGTTAGCACCTGGAGCAGGGAACAGGGGCGGAGGTGAAGTACCTTTACCCCTGCTGAGCACAGCAATAGCTCAGCATGCCACAAGACCCAGGGATACTGACTCGTCCACAGAAAATGGCTCATTGGTGTGTTGGTATGCACATACTGCAGCCATTATTAAGAAGGTAGGGAGCAATTTTAAGAACAAAGAGGTGAAGCTGAGGTTTCTATCCTGCGGGATCTGCTGCACCTCACAGTTCCCAGCTCTGGCAAATACAAGGAGCCGTCACCACTAGTTCCAAGGAAACCTCTCACGGATGTGATGGTAACAAAAGGCAATGTTTCATCAACAATCCTCAAATGATGACAGCAGGTCTTCCCTGCTGGCCAGGCTTCAAGGTTCAAGAGTGCACTGGGCCCTGGTTCATGTCCCGGTTGCTCCATCCAGCTCCCTGACGGTGGCCTGGGAAAGTAGTGGAGCATACTCCAAGGCCTTAGGACCCTGAACCCTCATGGGAGACCCCAAGGAGGCTCCTGGCCTCTGGCTTCAGATGGGCTCAGCACCAGCTGTTGTAGTCAGTTGGAGAGTGAATCAACGGATGGAAGATCTTCCTCCTTATAAACCTGTCTTTTCAGTAAATATAAATAAATCTTAAAAAAAAAAAAAAAAAAAGACATGGCCCCGTCTCTCTTGTGCCTGTGCGAGTGGACCTATTTCCTGGGCCCTGTGTGGGCCAGCACCGCTCCTCATGGGACTTGCCACACAGACTTGGTTCTTAACGCCTCAGCATGCTAAGCGAAGTTTCGGTAAGGCTATCTGCTACTGGCACTGAATTTTTACACAAAACCACACGACAAACTCCTTATGATTGCTGACTGTAAAGCTGACTATACCTTGGAAGGCCCCAGAGAGCTTCCACAACGCTAATATCTGTGTCCCGGATCAGGCAGGTACAGTGGTCGGAGGTGTGGCCTGGGCTGGGCCGGCACTGCCCTCTCAACACAGGCTATGCACACAAGTGCTGAGACATTTACTGAATGAATCAGTGAAAGACTGGCTGTGGTCCACATCAACAAAACTTCCGGCATACAAAGGTGAGGACCTTCAAGGGTCTCCCTGACCCTCTCCAACTACCAATATTCTGTATGGAAACACTTCTCCCTGGTGTTTTACAGCCTTTAATGAACAGCAGCTTAAGCTCAGCTCACTCCTCGCTTATTCAATGCATTTATTTAAAAGATTTATTTATTTTTATTACAAAGTCAGATATACAGAGGAGGAGAGACAGAGAGGAAGATCTTCTGTCTGATGATTCACTCCCCAAATGACTGCAATGGCCGGTGCTTTGCCAATCCGGAGCCAGGAGCCGGGAACTTCCAGATCTCCCACGCGGGTGCAGGGTCCCAAGGCTTTGGGCCGTCCTCGACTGCTTTTCCAGGCCACAAGCAGGGAGCTGGATGGGAAGTGGAGCTGCTGGGATTAGAACCAGTGCCCTTATGGAATCCTGGTACATTCAAGGCGAGGACTTTAGCTATTAGGCCACTGCATCAGGTCCTAATTCAATGCATTTTTTAAAAAAAGATTTATTTCATCAGAATGGCAGATATAAAAAAAAGGACAGAAAGATCTGTCCGATGATTCATTCCCCAAACAGCTGCCACCACCAGAGCTGAACTGATCCAAAGTCAGGAACCAGGAGCCTCTTCCAGGTCTCCCACATGGGTGCAGAATCCCAAGGTATTGGGCCATCCTCGACTGTTCTCCCAGGCCACGGGCAGGGAGCTAGATGGGAAGTGGAGCAGTCAGGATTAGAACTGGCACACATATAGGATCCTGGTGCATTCAGGGTGAGGACCTTAACCACTACGATATTGCGCCAGGCCCTATTCAATGCATTTTTACTGAATTGCTGCTTCAGGTCAAGCAGAAGACCTGGCCCAGCCGCCTTGGCCAGCACCCTCTTTTGGGGTGGTCTCGTGACAATTCACATGCCTGTGTGTGCCCTGCAGCAGTCACTCAAGGGAAACAGCAATGTGTATGTCCTCATCATAGACCATGAACATCAGGGCATCTTGGGCAAAGGAAAACACATCCCAGCCTCTCACAGAATAATTCTGCTGGCCAGGACCCACAGAGAAAACATACTGAAGCTCTGGGATCAGGAAAAGGTGATGGTGCCCAGGGGCCCTGACCTTGGGGGGGTTGCCCTGGGTGACCAAGCTGTTTGGAAGTTAACACTAACCCTGTTAACAACAATTAGCCTTAATTGTTTCTTCCACTTTCCCTTGGGGGAAAAACCAAGCCTTCCAGGTTCTTTGCAACATCTACACAGCCTGATGCAAGGCTGTGAACATACCAGTGTTAAATAGTTACCAAGTAAATAAAGGAGGAAATGCAGATTCCAATTATAAGATGGAAGCTTTAGAAAGTCCTCATATGAAAAGTCCTCATATGAAAGACATATTCAACTGTCAAAAATATGCTTCCTCATCTAATAGATGTCCAGTAGATACATTTTTGATGATCTTGGTGTTGAGATGCCAAACTAGAGTCTAT